TAACAATCAACATGTATCGAATCAAACCGAAAACCGTGACCAGAAATCGTGAACCGAACCGAGGATTTTGTGAACCGTTCCACCCCTAATATTTATATATTTTATTATTAATATACGTTGTATTTTAACAATTTATTGCCCCAGCCACTGAAACACATACTGGCCAAATAAAACACTTTCTATTAGACATTAAACTAGACATACTATAAGGCTAAACACATTAGGCTTATTGCTAGCACGCGTTTTCCCCCATCATGTTATACATTTCTTTCATAATTTTATTGCCTTCAAAACACAACAGAAAAGTTCATGCTGCTCCCACATGCAGTCCAATGCGTGTTATTTATGTGACAAATTACCAAGCTTGTTGAGTGTTTATATTTCAAAACAGAACTACAAAGATCATTTTGCAGATGTATCATTAAACAGCGCAAAGAACCCCAGACGGACATAAGTCGATTACTCATTTAAATCCCTGAAAATTACATGTTGTATTTAATTAGGAATGTCTCAAAAAAACTTAATGTCTGAGACCAATATTGCAGCTTTGAGTATTGACCAATATTGATATTGACCAAATACCATATCAGCACAAATCATGCTTACTTTTACTTTTAATTGTAGTAAGTGATATTACCAAAACAGAACATAGCAGTAAAAAAAAAACTACTACTAACTACTACTAACTTATTAAACTTTAAACAGAAGGGGAGTGTTTCTTACAGTTTAGTGATATTGGAGATTTTTGAGGCAGGCTGAAATATTCCAGTTTGATTTTTTTTGTTGTTGCTGATATTAGCATATTTCTGACATCAATATGGGATCATGTCATCCCTATATTTATTTAACCCTTACTTTTCATTTCTAATTGTTTGAGACAGAAATGGGTGCTTTAATTCTTCAACTAAACGTGGAAGCTTCCCATAATCTCGTGAAAAATGCGATAGACAAATCCGAAACCTGACGCCGACTAAAAATCTAACTGTATTTGTCCTTTGAGCAGAATAACTAACATCTATTGAAGTCTGATTGCAGGAAAACTAAAGTGAAAATCCTAAATGTTTTGATTTGGAAAGCAAAAGCAGATCAGTTAAGTCAAAGATTATGTAAAAACAATGAAATGCACTTCCTGGGTCTATTTTCAGCACCATTATAATCCTCATTTGGTGCTCTAATGAGTATTTAGGGCAGCAGTTCTGTGTATGTGGGACCCGATCGAAACATATTACATCGTCTTTATTGTAATTATGGAATCAGCCATCTACTGAATGGGGCTGCTTGATGCGTTTTTATATAATTGATTAACCCAGTGTTTTTTGGAGGTAATGGGGATGCTGTGCATCTCACGGTGGAACACATCAGTAGATCCTGAGCTGAATCTTGGACCAGAACATTTCCCTCTTTCAGTCAAATGAGCAATACGACATAAAATGACAGCGGTTTGTTTTTGAGGAGAGAAAAGAGCAGATCTAAATGTGTTGAAAACAGCCTGACCTCTTTTCTGGACCCAGCCTTCCTTGACGACGTTCTGGTCGCTCATGGTGGCTTCTCCTCAACACCAGCTCTCCCAGTTCTCCCAGTGTGGTGACCTTTCTGAGACAGCAGTCGGAGGTGTAGTGGGTAGGTTGTTTTCCCTCAGAACTCGGAGCGGTCAGCTCGACCTTTTGACGGATCTGCACCTTTTCTTCACCTTCTTTGCTCTGTAATAAACTTTTTCTTCGTTCTTTCTCTATATTCACTTTCTCTTCTCCTCGTCAGCGAAGATGCAGCTCCCCTTTTCACTTGCTATCGTCTGTCTCTCTCCCCCTTCTCCTCTTCTCCCCGCCTTCCTTCTTCAGCTCCGTTTCAAAGCGCTCCTCGCTTGAAGGTTCTCTGAAACTTCTCCGTATGTGTTCAGGCACTCTTGGGGTGAGTCAGCCTGGAAGGAAACAGCAAGAGAAAAAAGAGGAGGGGAAGGAGAGAGAAAACAAAACAGAGCGGGTTATTGGATAGTTTCCTTCATACAGCAAATAAAGCAAGCAAGCACTCATTGTTTAAAACTCTAGCGCACTTCCTGCCTCCTTCACTCCTTCACCTTCTCTTTAACGACTCCCCTGCTGCTCCCATTAAGACTTTAACAACCTCCTGGTCTCAGGTTCTGTCTCCTCATGTAACTCCCCTCTCTATTCTTCAGCTCTCAGCCGTTCCTCATCTTCCTGATCACCTCAACCTGTTTCTCTTTCCTTCATTCCTTGGTTCATAGTTTTCATGTTTCTTGTAGCTTTAGTTCCCTTTTCTAATATCATCTTCTTATTTACCCATTGATGTCTAATTAAAAGGTTTTTTTGTCATCATGCAGCCCCTTTTTTATTTTAAGCTTCTAAGAGACGTAATACCCTCCTAATATTTTAAACCACTATACCTCCATGAGACACCTGGACACTTATGCAACCGGATTCCTACTATTTTTAGTTTAGATGAACCTCTGTTCACCTCCGTCTTCCTTAGGGGGGGATAATGAAAGGGTTTGTAGACTCTAAAAGAAAAACATAGAGGTATTTCTTAGCATGGTATCAATGCAGTATTAGTGGTGCCCAATACGATTAAATCACACCGATAAAATGTTGCATTTTTCTCCTGCTCTATCCTGATCCAACCTGTTGTTTTCTGTGCACCTGCTGTGTGTTTGGCACCATCCTTAGAATGAAAGCGGAAGTGACATTCTTAGTGCATCAGTTTGGGGAAAATAAAACATCCAAGGCTTCAGATTCCTTACAGACCCAGACAGTGTTGGGAGAGATGCTGAAATTTCTGGCCTAAGCTGTGTGGCATAGGGTATAGCTCACTTTTCCTTCCTCAGAGACTTCTTGCACCTTCCCATCTGCTCTCCCTCTCATGGTTTTCTCTCACCTTGCCCAACAGACCTCAATTTCTTCTTTGACCAATTTAGAAAACAAATCATTTGAGTTAGGTCTACATTTTATACAATTGGGTACAATCCATCCATAGCAAAATCTCTTTGGTAACTTGGGGTTACGCTTCACCAATTTCTTTTTCTGAACTCAAAATGATCAAAGATCTAAATATAGCCACCCAAAGACCTGAGACTAATCGTCTGAACCTCATACCCCCAGTATAAACTACAATATTAGCCTCAGTTGCATAAAGAGAGAGGAGGATACAACTAGGACAACATTCTTCTAAATTCTGCATGTCACAGCACACAGAGGAGCCAGACTAACAATACAGCCTTGATATAAAACACTAGGATTTCTTTAAAAACGTCCTGCACAGCTTTCATACTGCCCGGCTTTTTCTGTTCTTCATGTCATAACCGTAAGGGGAATTACACAAGTTTTGGTTCATTTTTAGAAACAGAAATCTTAAAAGTTTGCCATGGTTTAGGATTTGGAAATCCTATTAAAGGCTGCACAACCAACTGCAAGACTTTTGGGATATGTCTTTACTAATTTTGAAAAGAAAAGTCGACAAAAATCTCTTAAACGTCTCTAAATTTTGCAACAAATTGACAATTAAATTGGACCAAAAGGCATAGAGAACAAGCTTTTATTTTCCGGGTGGATCATCTAAATAATTGGTCCTCCTAATTGTAAATCATTCTGGTGATATGTTTACGTAAGGCCGTTCTATGTGCTCGTCCGGTTAGCTGTATTATTCTGTGCATGCGCACTTTCAGGCGCATATGTGTGGTGAGCTACGGTTTCAGACAGTCCTTGAAGCTCATCTTTCTCACCGCGGTTCTTTGAAAATGGTTGAGGGTTGTAAGAGAAAAAGTGTCTACGAAGAGGAAGAGAAAGGTCTCAGAAGAGGCAGATGTAACCCAGAATGCTTTGAGCGGAGAGCTCCCTTGCAAAGCATTTTGGAATTTGACTAATTTGTGTGATTTGTGACTAACAAAGATGGAGCAGGCACAGCACTGTGGAGGAGGAATTACGTGACCAAAGGGAAGCAAAAAGCAGTGATCATCTGTCCGAACGGTCAGTTAACTGAGTTCGCTATATAGTCCGCCAACCAGATATACAAGCTGCCTAATATCAGCGAAGGTAAATTAGCAGGAATGTGCGCAACCACTTTTGAAAAAGTGGCTTCGAGTTAATAAAGAAAGGGCCAGTGAGCTACCTGCCTCAGTAGTGATGGGATTATATTATGCAAAGGACGACGCACGGCCGACATGATTAAACATTATCAAGCTCGGGATGAGAGCCTCACCTTTGACCCACTGCACTGGTGTTGTGCTAAAGTAGGCTCCCTGTGGCAACATAGTCCTCCTCTAAATTCATAGCGCACTTTCTGCAGGGAGAGCGGAGCCTTTTATTATACTTTCTCTTACTTCAGGTCTTAAAGGTAAAGT